TTGGGGTTCAAGCACAAAAATCTAGAATTTTATTTTCTTTCTTGATTAGAAAATTTCATTTATATGATTCTTGAATATATTAGAGGCACAAGTTAAGATATTTTGTTATTTTAATATGTTAGATTGCTCGTACAGTTCTTGTTAAGCTCGTGTTGGCAGAGATTGGATTTTTCAGTTTTTCATCATTCTGTGAGTAATAACGTGTTGGCAAAGATTGGATTTTTCAATTTTTCATCATTCTGTGAGTAATAATGTGGATTTATGAATATTTATTATTTTTATAATTGTTATAAATTTTGATTTTAAATGATATATCTGATTTTTTGAAATTTTGATTGAATGTTGTTTTAAAAATGAAACAAGGGACATGTATGAAAATTTTGAAATTGTTTAGAAAGAAATATCTGTTAATTATATTTGACTCTATACGTAAAAAATCTTATTAAATGTTTATATTAAATTCTAGAAAATTCTATTAAATGGTTTCTGTTTATTCTGAAAAATGAAAAGTTTTGTTAAATTACTCTAATATTTTTGAAAAACTATTTTTAAGAGAGTTTTGGATTCTATAACACTACGGCTAATGCCGATATGCATTAGACTAAATGCACCACATACAGGGTCCCCATCTAGTAGGAGTGATGGTACTAGACTTTTTGAGTTTTGTTTATCGGCATTGACTGAAATGTTACTGTCCTGTTGTCGGGATAGACTGATATGTTGCTATCTTGTTATCCAGGCAGACTAATATGTTGTCATCCTAATTACCGGCTGACTGTGTGTCACTGTCTTATTTACCGGCTGACTGAGTGCTGTCATTCTGTTTTATGGGCAAAATGAGTGTCACCATTTTGTTATATGGATAGACTGAATGTTGCCATTTTGTTAAATGAACAGATTTAATGTTATTGTTCCATTATTCAGCAGATTGTGTGTCGCCGTTCTGATTTCTGACATATATTCTATTCTAAATTATGAACTCTCTAAGATTCCGATTTTTGATATATGAAAATGATTTGTTATACTAGAAAGTTTCTGATATCTATAAATGATTTATTAACCTGAAATGTTTCTAATATTTGTAAATGATTTGTTATATAATGAAATTTTTAAAAAATGTAAAAGATTCATTAAATGGTAGAATGTTTTGATCTTATATAATATATATGTCTTTTGTTCTCGTAAATACATATTATTATTCACTGGATCTGTAAACTCTTCTCTATTTTTTTTCAGATTCAAAGTTCGATACTCAGTGGGATTCTGCTACTTAAGAGAAGTGTTTTATTTAATTGTTTTTGTTATTAGTTGGAAAAATTAGTGATTTCAGTTCTATCAGATTTCTATTTCTAGATTCCATAGATTGCTCCATTTGACTACTGATAAGTTTTGTATTTTATGTTGACAGTTCAGTTAGTATAGTTTAGATTATATCTTGTTTTATATCAGATTATCAATTCAGTTAAATTTCATATTTTCTGTTAAGTTTGCGGGGTTGGATTTATTCTGATTCTTGCGCCGGTCACGATCCACTTTTCCAGGTCGTGACATTTTTATTTTTTAATTTTTGAATTAAATTTAAAAAATTTAACATTTTGATGACATAATTTTACTATTTTTAAAATTTTTATTTTATGATATTTTAATTTTATTTAACTTTTATTAAATTTAAATGACAATCAGCTTATTTTTTTTTTAACTTAAATGATATTCGACCATTCTTATTTTAACATTTAAAATAAGAATAAAAATATAATAAAATAGAAATTATTAAATAATTAAAAATCATAAATTTAAATGATCAAAAGTTAGATTTTTTTTAAAAAAAGTTGGAATAAGAAATTTTAAAAAATAAGTGAACCAAATAATATTTTAATTTTGGACAACTAAAATGTGCAAAATTGGATTAGTTTTACATCTTTTTTTAATAAAATTATTAAATAATCATTAGTCAATAGTTAGTTCAAGAAAAAAATATTTTTTTATAATAAGAATAAGTTAAGCGTCTTTTAAGAAAATCTGGAGGAAGGGGAATGTTTTTTATCCTAAAAAATATCTAAGTGAAAAAATACTTTGTTTCTCTATGCTTAGTTGAACAATATTCAATCCCATTATTATCACAATAAAATACTTGCCTTCTTTAATTAATAATTGTCTAACAGTTTTTCTTTAAAAATAATGTGAAGATAATCCATTTTCACTTGTTTTAGTCACTTATCTAATTAAAAATTAAACATTATTTGATTTACTTAAAAATTTATTTTTTAAGTTTATAATTGAATTTTTCTTTTTAATTTTTTTTTAAAAATTTATTTTATGAGTTTTTTTAGTATTATTGAAGTTTTTTCCATTCTTATTTCAACATTTGGAATTAAAAAATTTTAAAATAATTAAATAAAAGTAAAATTAAAATATCAAAAATTAGATTTTTTGAGCTTTTTTATATTTTTAATTTAAAATTTAAAAAATGATCTTTTAAATGAATCAAATAATATTTTAATTTTTAATCAAATAGATCACTTAGGTTATTGAAATTAGGCTTATGTTTACTTGTAGTTTAAAAAAATTATTAGTTAACTGTTAATTAAAAATATATATGTATTTTTTATGATAAAAATGAATTTATGTGTCTTTTAAATAAATCTAAAAGAAAATAAATTTTTACCAAATTTTTTTATATAAAAAGTTCTTAATTTTATAAATAAATAATTCCAAAATCTCAAAATACCAATCCATGCTCCGAAGCCATAAATGTTGGTTGAATGATAGAATTAAACTTTAAAAGTGGGACAGGAAGGACAATGGTAGGAAGAAAGATACAGCAAGAAAGCCGAAAGTAACTGAAAAAGTTGCACCATAAATTCTCCTCTCCTTCTCAATTAATTCTTTTCATCAACTGAAAACTGAGACGGGGAAGTGGTCAATAATTCCTGGTCTTGACGTTAACATCAATTTTACCTAAAATTCATGACTTTGATGCAAATGTACAAACGTAATTTTATAAAAAAAAAAAATTAATTGACACCAATATAAATATAAAAAACTTACACCAAATCTTACATTATTGATTTAGTTAAAATTAACAGTAAAGATTAATTAACTGTAAATTAATTATTAGAAGTTATTAGAAGATAGTTATAATTAATTTTATTCATTTATTTTGACCAAATCAACAATGTAAAATTTGGTATAAGTTTTTTACAGTTACACTTGATGTTAATTGATCATTTCTCTTCATAAAATACTAAACTTTAATTCCTGAAGTAGACTAGCACAAAAATTGATAACACATAAATGATTTTAATTATGTCCTTCTTATAGGGCCCGTTCGGTTGGGCTGATAAGATTGATAAGGATAAAAATTATTAGCCTTATCACACGTTCGCTTCGCATGTAACAAAGTCAGATAAAATTTTTTATCAACCTATACTTGATAACTTTATCCCACCGTGGAATGGGAGATAAAATTTCTCCCACTTCCATAATGAAAATTTTTTGTCCTTGAAACCATTTTGCCCCTCTCTACAAACTCTTCCCTTCCCTTTCCAAGCGTTGGTCTCTCCTCTGCGACACTCACTACCGCTGCCCCTCCCCTCTCTGAGCACCGGCCTCTTTACTACTCATGTCGGATGCAGACGCCCGACACAAGCGAGCTCGCGGACACTGCACACAGGTGAGCTTGCAGGCGCTTGCGCGAGCAGGTGCGTGCTCGTGCAAGTGCCAGATCTGGAGCTTGCTTGCGCAGGCCTCGCAAATCGGGCGCTTGCGCGAACTCGTGGGGCCTACATGAGCAGGCGCATGCTCGTGCAGGCGCCAGCTTTGGTGCCCAATCTGCGGGTGCCTGTGCAAGCAGACGCTAGAGCCGGTGCAGGTGACCGATCTGCGAGCGCCTACGCAAGTAGGCACCGGAGCTCGCGCAAGTGCGGCAATCGCATGGAGAGAAAATGCATGAAGGCAAATTGGTAAATTGCTTCTTATCCGATTTCTTATCCTAATTTCTAAAATGTAATCGAACGGATGATAGGATAAATTTACTGTTAGGAGTAGGATATATTTTATTTCACCTTATCTTATCACACCTTATCTTCTCATACAAATTGAACGGGCCCATAGTTGTACAAAACAATATAGACTTTGAGTCCTACTAAATTCTCATTATTTTTTAAAATTTTAATTGTTAAAAAATACCACAAAAATAAAAAAAACTTTTTAATACTGGTATTAAAAAATAGTATTATCTTTTTTCACGATAATTAAACTAATATCTTACCATAAATTTACATATCAAATTACTTTTAACAATAGCATCAAATAACCAAAGATTGGTTAATTGAGTAACAAGTTTGTCTAATCTCTTCCCAATTTTCCCTGATCTGTTTTAATTTCTATTAAATTTATTTATTAAAATATTTAAAATAATAATTAATTTATAATTAAGATGAAATAACTCATGTTTAGTTGACGTGATATTAACTCTTATTACATGATATTGCTTTGGAACATTCGGAATGTCCCGTTAAATTCCGTTCATCGGAACCACTCATTTTACTAGTTTCAACCATTTCAACCGAGGGTATTTTAGTAAGATCAGGGTATTTCTCAGAATTCGAGAAGCTTGAGCACTTTTCGCAGCACAGTAGCCTTCATACATTATGGTCCCAATTCAATGCACCTGACTTTTAAAATTACCTCTCGACCGTCAGATCATTTTTTGATCTAACGGACAAAATGAGTCCACGCTCTTCTCTTAGAAGCCTTTGATTAAGACAAGTCCTTATGGCTCCTAGGCCTCCACGTTCATTATATTCTCACCGCTAGATGAATTTCAATCGCACGGATGCTACAACCCTCGCGAAATCTGCAGTATTCTTCCCTTACAGCAACATTAATATCCCGCTCTTTCTCTCTCTAACAATTTGCAGCAGAAATATCCTTCCCCACTCTTTCTATCCCCTCGCTCTTTCTCTAAAATCTGTGTGTTTGCTTGCGGTTTTGCGGAGGGCAAATGCAAGAACAAGCAGCCAGTTCGATTGCTGCTAATTCTCTACTTCTAGCAGCGAAAGATCTTCCAGCTCAGCTCTCCAACTTGAGGTCAAAGAAGGTCTTTCTTTCCTCTCAATCTCACTTCCTAATAGTCAGAAATATGCTTTCATATTTTCATTCAATGGCATATTTGAAGGAATTTGTGAATTTCTTATCTGGGTTTTTAAATAATTTACGAACTTCCCTCCAAGCTTTGGAATAATGTGAGAGTTTCCAATCGGCGTTGCTGAACTTTCTGGGGAAGTTCATTTCAGACGAAGATCCCGACGTTAATTCCTGTTAGTTGAAGTTTTATGGCAAGCTGATCGTAAATTAATTTTGCTTTTACTGATGAAGGCATGGAGAGCGACGACGAAATTAGAAGAGTACCAGAGATCGGCAGCGAAAACGCCGGGACGTCGGCGCGGGGCGGGGAGGCCGGTGTGGTGGCGGGTCCGAACCGGGTTCAGGCGTCGGCAGAGGGGCCAAGGAAGAGGGGTAGAAGCCCGGCCGACAAAGAGAACAAGCGGCTGAAGAGGTAAGACTCTGACCAGATCCTCCTCTCCCCACGCCACCTCGCCGCCACGTCATCCATAGCCCAATTAAAAAGTGGTGATGCTGATGTGGCGTAATCTGGGTGGGGTAGGTTTTTGGATTCTAGTACCGATTATTGAGTATTTCATATGAATTAACATTTGGGGATTCAATTAACGTGTTGAAAAAAAAAAAAAAAGATTGCTGAGGAACAGAGTATCGGCACAACAAGCGAGGGAGAGGAAGAGGCGTATCTGATAGAGCTGGAGGCTAGGGTTAAGGACCTGGAGAAGAAGAACTCGGAGCTGGAGGAGAGGGTGTCCACGCTGCAGAACGAGAACCAGATGCTAAGACACGTAAGTTCTAAGTCACATAATACGCCTATATATAATAATTTTTGTGTAATTATTATCATCATCCTCGTTCTCATCAAAACGACGCCTTCAGAGTGAAGGGTATTTTGGGTATTTGAGTGTTTAGCCGTATTGATGGCCTGTGGTACAAGTTCAGTAGTCACTGATGTCGTGGTCCACCAACCGGCATGGGTTTAGGTCAGCCTAGTTGCAGGATGTTTTATGAATTGTCCCCATCTGCATCCTACCTCCCATTTAAGTATTTTTGGATTTTATTATTTTCTAAAACGGTATAAAAAATTAATTGACTTTATTTTATATAAAAAATGATTATATAAAAAAAAATTTAAATTTGGACGTGAATTTTATAATGTCTTTTAAAATAATCTAGACGACAAGGATGGACACGCGGCAAATTCAGATTTCTATTTGGTGGTCCCGGTGATTGTCTGTCCACGTCAGCCCTAAAGATTCGGTACCTTACCATATGTTTGGTGTTAGTCTGGAGGAAGGTCCCGTTTGGTTTCGGAGTTTGGTTTGCGACGTTTTGCTATATTTTAAGTTTATTTTTTGACATTATAAAAGATTATGATTTTATGAAGTAGTTTGATTGAGATTTTTTTTGGGGGGGAACTTTTAAGGTATTAATTAATTTGACTATTTTTAAGAGAAAGTCTAAAAAATGGTTATTTTTATGAAAAATAATATGACATTCAATTTTTTTAAAAGTAAAACATTAGGGAACTTTTTACGGATAAGAATGACGGGGGCTAATAATTGAATTTGTTTACGATGAGTTCGTTCAGGGAATAACATAAATAATGAGTACAAAAGCAGAGTGAGAGTATCGAGAGTATATTAATTGGTTTGACACCGTCGATTATTAGCATCCATTTATTTTTTTTATTTAATTTATTACTGAATACCTTTCTCTCTACGAAAAGTTACCCGACTCTGGAAATTTACTAAAATTTTTCTTTCGCCAGTGTAACGAGAGACAGGTTTAAGAGACGTCTGGAGTTAAAACACAAAGCCTTACCCCACACGTCAGGTTACAAGGAGTGAGATTCTCATATTCATTCTAGGACATCTCACCTGTGAGAGAGAGAGAGAGGAAGCTATGACCTTTATAAACAGTATCAAACACAACACGTGATCTTGTGAGAGAGAGGAACGTATTGGGTTTAAGGGTAGTATTACATAAATTACCACACGTGATCTTGAAGGAATATGTTATTCATCTGAAAACCTGGAAAGTCGGCAGAAGAGTGAAGTCCCGGGATTGGCCATCCCGTGCAGCAAAGGGCCAGGGGAATTAGCTTTTCCTGGACCAGGTGTTACCAAACGCTAGAGGGGAGGGGTGCAGCGGGACATGGAGTTGTGCTGGCCTCCTACCCCATTTCTTGTAAGTTCAGATGATTTTCTTATGTTGAAAAATTCTCCCGAGTGATTGATACTTAAAAAGCCCAAAATTAGAGGTCTGGAGTCTTTGTCGCATTATCCTTTTGTTTATCTTTATCACGCCAATGATTTTGTGTCTGTGGATTATTTTACTTCCGTGTCCCACAAGGTGATTATTTCGTTTTCAATTTACTGTTTTCTTTACTATTACTAGTCTTTAGCTGAATGACCGGAGCTTAAAAATGTCTTTCACTTACTCCCTTTACAGAACTAAGAGCAAGTGGGCTTGTTGACGTTCACAGATTCATACTTATCATGTTGATAATAACCTGAATGTTTTGTTTTGCAAGTTTTTGAGGGACAAGTTGGGAGACTTGGGGGGCTGACGAAGTTTTTACTCCATGGTAACAGAGCCCCTATCATTTGTCACGCAAAGAATAAAAGAGGAAACTGAATCTATTAACTGATGGGTTAACTTATAGTCTTGGGAAGCAAGTGATTCATGCGTGAACTCTCGTGGAGAAGTAAAAATAAATTTACCATTTCCATGGGAGCCATGAGTGTAATTATACCCTGTTCGATACACGTTGCTTCCTTTGTCATGGGTAACTTCTTCTTTTAGCTCCTGTAATGTTGGTAATTGACATATTTTGCTTAATTTTATTTCTGGTGACTGAGCATGCAGATACTGAAGAACACAACAGCAGGCATGCAGGAGGGAAGGAAATAATTGTTTAAATGTAGATGAGCTTGTTTGAGAGAAGAAAGTCGACTGTGGATGGCTTGCCTCCTCTTTTATTTTTTGTTTTTTAAAATTTATACGCATAATTCTAAGCTAGTAATTGAGGAAATTATTTTCACTTGTCTTCCCCTTGATCTGGCTTACACCAGACATTATAATAGAAAGCTCAAGGAGCTGAATTTATGGAAGCCGTCAAGTGACGCTCGCACGAATAGCTTTCTTATTTTTGCTAATTATTATGTCTTAAATAATTTATATAGATTCTAAAATATATTTAAGGCCCGGCTGGCACGGTAGGGGGGGGGGGGGTGTTTGGAACGGAACTATTCTGTCAATTTCGGTTTATATTGCGGCATGGACCTGTCACTTTCAATTTATTTTATGGGAAAATTTTCTTTAAACACCCTTCAACTGTTAGCTTTTAATCAGATGCACCCTGTAATTAAAAAAATCAAAGTTAGCATGTGTTACGGTCAAATAATTTTTGATAGATTAGGGATAAAAATAAAAATTTGAATAAATTAGAATGAAATTAAAATTTTTATAAATGTATTTGGTGTATATTAATAAAATAAAAATTTATATTTTATTATTATGTTTAGTATATAGGAATAAAATATGAAAGTAAATAAAAATAGAAATGGAAATTTGAATAAAATAGAATGGAATTAAAATTTTTATGAGTGTGTTTGGTGTATATTAATAGAATGAAAATTTTTATTTTATTATTGTGTTCAGTATATAGGAATAAAATAAGAAAGTAAATAAAAAAATTCAAGGTTGAATATACTTTTGTTTTAAAGATTTAAAAATTTTAAAAAATTAATTTTTTATTTTAAAATTAAAATATTAAATTTATATATGTGTGTTTGCTTTTGTGTGTGTGTGTATGTATATAATAAATTATATATTTATATTATATAAATATAATAAATTTACATAATTATATAATATAATATATTATATTATACAATTTATTATATTATATTATAATAGATATATATAATATGATGAGTCAATTGACATTTAGTATAAGTGTAATGTATTTATATCACATTTTATACTATTGATTTGGTCAAAATTAACGAATAGCATTAATTGGTATTAATTTTTAATAATTTTTAACATATAAAATTAATGTCATTCGTTGATTTTGATTAAATCAACAGTGTGAAATGTGGTATAAGTATTTTGTACTTATATTATGTGTTAATTAATTATTTTCGTATAACATATAATATATTAATATATAATATTATAAATATTTTATACTTGTTTATATTTATAAATTATGTTTGTTATTTATTTATAAAATAAAAGGTATTATGGTAATTATAAATTTAAATAAAGATTCTTTTAAGAGATAGAACTCTTATTTATTGGAGAATGAAAATTTTTGTATGAAAATATCTATCAAATATATTTTTTTAAGATAATCATTCTTATTTCTATTTTTTTAATAAGATTTTATCGTGTCATATATTAATAAAAGTAAAAATCAAATAATATCTTGGATCTAAGATCCACATTAGTTTAATATTGATTGTTAAAAGACTAATTAAATTACTTAAATATTCTTCACTAATGTGTTGGTAACTGGAAATTTGATTCAACCTCTTTTAACTCTTAGCCTTCCATCACTCCTTTAATTATAAAAATATCAAAGAATTTCTGGATTTAACAATTCTATATTAATTTTAACGTTGACCAGCTAATACGATCGCCACTTGTGATTTATATCACAGTAGTTTTGGTAGTCCATTATTGCTGCTATCAATGTTTTAAAATCAGGAACATATTGACTAGTTTAATTAGTTTAACAACCATCTTGTTTAATAAAATGGGCTGGTTTTTAAATCCAGCCTAGCCACCCCGCCCACGCACCCCCCTCCATCATCATTTACCGTGCATGAACTCTGGTTCACAGTTTAAACTTTAAATTTGAACTATGAAATTTGAGGGGGCCACTATTAAGACATAATTGTCAGTTTTAAAAAATTAATTTTTATTTTATTTAATTATGTTAAAAATTATATATGTGTGTATAAAAATTTTAGAAAAGGTATTTTTAATATTTTTTACAATATATTTCATTTTATTTTAAATATTAAAAAATATAAAATAGTAAAAATTAGATTATTAAAAAGATTATTTCTAAAAATTTTTAATCAAAATTTTAATTATATATATAATTTTAATTTTGAAATAAACAGATAATAATAAAAAAATGTATTATTGTTGTCATACCACCTAAAAGTCTTGAGTACTGTACAAAATTTAAACAAAAATATTATTTAGTTATACTCAATTTATTAAAATTTTAATTTATTTTTTAAATACTTTTTTATAAGTTAAATTAGTTGAATCGTGATCTAGTAAATTTACTAATTTAATCACTTATCCGAATTTTAAAACATTAGCAAGCCCAGCCCCCGTTTCCATTCCTCCATTTTTCAAGATGGCAACTATCTTGTTTCCTTTCAACATTCACCAAATTTGTGCACACAATGTGGCAGCTTTATCCCCTCCTGATAGTGTTCATTTCTATTTTCATTTGAAGTTCATTAGTCCGAATACAAACACATGCTACTATGACTTATTCAAGATCGACATTAGGACCATCATGCTAACCTTGTAAATTAGTGATATTCACACAGACCAGTGTGAGTCTGATCCTAAAAACTAAATTGAGTTCAACCGTTTTATACATGGTGACATGTACTTTCTATTGCTAATAGTGGTGGCAATGAGAGGCTACCAAGCCCATTATAGTAGAGGTTACATCTAGTGGCTGCATTAGTCATTCAATATTAAAATTAGTTTTAATCATTAAATCTAGTAATTATTTGAATATTTTTATAATTGAAGGGAGTATTTTGATGCAAAAACTGATAATGGTGGGGTTTAATGAAATTTATAATTATCGGCACATTAACTAGAAATATTTAAGTAA